TTTGTGAATTTAATTCATGTTTGTGAAACTTTAAGATTTATTTGTGGATCTCATTCTATTTATTTGTCAATATGTTTAATGTTTGTTAATCTCTTTACATTTATTTATGGATCGTAATCTATTTATTTGGAATTAAGCAACAATTCTATCTCCATAGATTCTGGACAATCAGATAAAGGTGATCCACAGGACGCAGCCGGTTTAGCTGCACACTACTTTTATGCCGACCATTTACATCCAAATGTTATTTAATTTTCACAGAACACAACCTTTAAATAGATTTTAGAATATAAACTGTTTATGTCTATTCAATAAGACTAAATAAAAAGTGTGCGCCTCATTGTGCATTAACTTGAATCAAGCCCAACAAATGTCTGTTTTAAAAACAGTGGATGAGTAATTCACTCCTTGATTTGCTTAATAAAAGACTCCTTTGAGATCGTTTTGACAGACATGTTTATTGTGCATTTTAAACGTGTTTATTGGTGTAGCAAATGTAGCAAAATAGAAGAGCAGCTGTAATTCGTGGCCAATGTATGTGGTTACCATGACAACTTGCCACTGCTGCCACTGCTCTATGTGAATATGTAGATTTACTATAGCAAAACTAAAATGTGTTTAAAAGTACGTCGGTTCCCTGAGAGCGGGAACGAGACATCACGGAGATATTTCTGGTTGGAAGGGAAGGAGTTCCCATAACGGATCCAGGCATGACGAAGCGGATATCGTCCTCTTTTGGAACACCAAACTAAGTAATTTCGCTTTCACAACGAAACACAGTGCCTTCACGACATGGCGGCGGCGGCAACAACAATACTACAGCGAGAATAAAAGTTGCTTTCTTTCTTTGCATGAACATTTGGCAGCGTTATGCAAATCTTCCCACATCGTGACGTAACCATGTGGGGGCGTGCTAGAACGAGCCGTTTTAGGTAGGCGTGGTTGACTCTTAACTTTTATAAAGAATATCTCTTTGGATTTGAGACTTTAGTCTTTGCAACTTTACAGATCTTCTTTATGCACCAAGAGCTTGTAACACTCCAAAGAGAAAGGAAAAATTTTAATCGCATCATATGACCCCTTTAAAATACTTGTTTACCCAACAGTTTTAGAAAACAAAATATTGGAATTTTAATTTGAAATACAAAATTAATTTAAAGTTCTTATTTTGGGGTTTTTCTAGATGTTTGAAAAAAAAAAAAAATGCTTGACGTTTGACTCAGAAACTGAGATATTGCCCATGTGACAACTAGCCCCAGCCTTCCATACATGAATTGAACAATTATTCATTAATAATCTTGCCGGAAAGCATCTCTCCTCCAAATTTATCAGCTTCAGCTGCCAGTTTGGGGTTTCTTTTTTCCTTTTCTTGAATAGCAGGCTTGTAGAATCTCATTACTTGTCTTTTTAGTTTCCTTCAATATCACTCCTAGGGCAGACAATGATAGTTTTTTGATTGAGTTTATCATAAAACACAAGTTATTTAATTTACTCTTCCAATCCATTATCAGCTCTTTCTGCACCTCAAATCTGCGGAGACGTCAAACTAACACAATAAAGGCAGTCAGGCCTGAAGAGTTTTGAAGCTGACTGTATCAGATCAGAGGAAGAGATAATAAAATTGTTTCTCCCTTCACTTTTCTTCTAGTATGTACATTTATATAAGTGTGCGCTGAAGGCTGGCAGATGGTTATCCCTCTGAGAAAGTGTGATATTTAGATACTTCATGCCATAGGAATATGACAGGAATAGAGATTAGGCTTCCATTTTATATTTGATCAGTCTTATTAGCAGCCTGCTTTGTTGTATATTTTTAGTGCCTTGGTACGACGTGCAAAGAGCGCTGTTAAATCTAATTCATTACCATTTCCTTTTACTGAGTTATTGAGTGTGTATAAATAGTGCTTTGGCTTGAGCAGGGTTTGGAGAATGAAGGGTCAGGCCATGTTTTGTTTGTCATGGCCGTCGTCCAGAGGAGATACAGCTTTTCCTGCTCCCTCAACAGACTGGAGGTCTCAGCTGGGAACCTCTTTCTTTTTCACCGCCCATCAGAATAAAAGAACTAACGGCTAATTTAGGAGGGGAAAAAAAACTCAGCTTCTACTTTTGTGTAGAGCTACTGTATTTCTTGTTTTACTGTCAGAATATGTGACCGGGAGTGAGATTAGAAGCTTGACCGATGAAGCTTGACCATGACCAAGAGTATCTCATTTCAGAAAACATGAGTCAGCAGCATATAAGTTAACCGTTGAACAGTATTACATAGCACATTATTCTAGGAATAAGTAAGTGATGTGTCTGTGATGGAGAGAGCACCCTCTCGCTAAAGAACCAACCTGCTGTGTCTTGAACCAGTTGACATGGCTGCAGCGTCAACAATACTACAGCGAGAATAAAAGTTACGTCTTCTTTCTTTGCGTGAACATTTGGGCTGCGTTTTGCAAATCTTCCCACATCGTGACGTAGGTATGTGGGGGCGTGTTAGAACGAGCCGTTTTAGGTAGGCGTGGTTGACTCTTAACTTTTATAAAGAATATCTCTTTGGATTTGAGACTTTAGTCTTTGCAACTTTACAGATCTTCTTTATGCACCAAGAGCTTGTAACACTCCAAAGAGAAAGGAAAAATTTTAATCGCATCATATGACCCCTTTAATATAATTTCTGAACAGAACTTTGATTTTTCAAGCATAGTGAAATAATTTAGCCGCGGAGCAGTGTTTCTGATCAGTGGAGCGAGGAGTGGGGCAGAAGCGGGAAATGGTGAACCCGGAGCGGAGCGGAGCTGGAGCTGAGTGATTATTGAACGCTTGGTGCGCGGAGGGGAAATTGTTGCCGCTCCACTCCGCTCACATACTCTGCCACGAGGTGTGTTTTGGTCATACCTGGGGCTTTGGTTTGTTTAAGGGAAAGTCCATTATTAGAGATTCTTCATGCTGACGCACATATAGCTCCCCACTCAACGTCTCAAACACCAGTACAGGGTTGACATTTTCTGTGGGATAATATTGTGCTTTTAGAATAGTCACAGTCCATTGTCTTTGGTAAAATATTAATGTAAGAACAAGTGTTTCTTACTTTTCATGTAAAAGAGCACTGCTGCTGAGGCCAGTGTTGCATGTCCACAAAGTGGCATCTCACGTGTGGGAGTAAACCAGCGTAATCCAAACCTTGCACCTTTTAAAATATATCAAAACCAAAAGCAAACATGTAAATCAGAGTTGATTGAGTATTTCAACATGCATCTCAGCAGCAGAATACCTGAGGAATAATCCATAGAATTCAGTCTTGTGATGAAAGCAGTCTCTGATAAATTCATCTCAGCAGCAATGCTCTGATAAAGATCATCTCGCAGCTCCTAAATGTATTACAGAGAAACATTTCATATTCTGATCTTTATAGCTGCTAACATGTTTAAATTAGTGCTGACAACTGATAAAAAAAAATTGCCAATTTTTTTCTGAAATTAATCACAATTAATCCCACCTAACATTAATGTTTTTAAATATACATTTCAATAATTTCACATGTAATCTTCAAATTAATGTAGAAACAACAAAGACAGTATTTTAATATTTGTTTAGTGGCATCTTTTTTATGACTAAAGGCAAGTATCACTGATACCAATACTACTACTGATGTCTCTATGAAATAGATTTTTTCCCCCTAATATTTCACCATTGACTATAGCCATTCAACATTAGCTACAGTATAATTGAGAGCTATCAATTTTAACATTTTTTAAAAATAACAGCTTCTAATTAAAGTGAACTTAAAAAAATTTCACATAAACCAATTATAATAAAGCAGGTAGGAAAAATACAGAAATTGACTAAAGTTATCAAACACTAAAATCTAAATTAAATATAGACGAATCCTTTAAGCTACAAAAGTTACTGATTTCCTCTTTTTTTCTTTTGTTCTTTGCAGAAATCTCAACAGCTGGGTTATTAGGTTTTTTGGTTGCTATTACTTTACTGCCACTGCTGAACTTGACGCGGATCTGACACGCATGGTATTTTCTCACAACTCGAGAGATGGTCCTCACTGCAGAACACAAGATCCAGGGGGCGAGGTTGGATCCAGATCCGACTCCTCCCACCTTACATATACCTAAACCTACCCATCTCCACCCCGATCCCTAAACCCATCTCCACCCCCTATATGTGGATCCAACCCCACCCCCTGGATCTTTGTTCTGCAGTGAGGGGCTACTGCAACTCGATACTATGGAATATGGAAGACCGTTAGGGCCAAAACGTGTGGAACTAACACGTTAACACATCGCGTTAACACGCAATTACGCATTACCGTGCGATTAACGCATAAATTGTGTGTTAACGCATAAATTACGTGTTAAGCCGTAATTACGTGTTAACGCGTATCACACGTTTTGGCTCTAACGGCCTTCCATACGAGACTGAGGTTTCTGCAGAGCAAAAGTGGGCGTTTCTGACTTTGTGGGTGTTTTCAAACTGCTACGTTTTCTAAATCATGCAATGAAAATGATGCCCCTTACCTGACCCCACCCCTAAACATACCATCACTATGACGTGGGCCAATCGGGTAATGCCCCTCTATTTTGGCCTTGTCCACTGATCTAGTAACTCCCATTACTTTCCTGCAGAGACCTATATTTGTGGGGAGCACAACTCTTTACCTTTTCTGGCATGCTTCAGGTCCTAAAGTCTCTAATGAACTGACGAGTTGAATCGGGTGTGTTAGATGAGGAGAACAGTACTGGGATGTTCCAGGACAGTTTTGAAAACCACTGCATTTCAGAGACATGTTCTTAAATCTGACTCATATATAACAAATACTAACATACATGCAAAGTTTTAAGGCAGCTTTAATTTAAAATGTTTTAATGCCGTTGAACTGGAAAAAATAATTGCATGCGTTAACGCGCTAATTTTGACAGCACTAGTTTCAACAATCAGAAACTAAAAAACATAAAACTGTCTTGTGCAGTGTAATACTTACATTCTCTATAAGACATACTGCAGCAGGATTACCTTTGAATGGTAAATTAGTAAAAGAATCAACAGTAAATATTGGAATCTCCATTGCTTCTACTCTAGAGTAAAACAGCTGTAACAAGTTTAGCGTGACATTTAGCAAGTCATAGTCCAGTGCTGCTTTGAGGCTTGCTGAAACTGACCCCAGTAGTGTAACCCCCCTTTTTAAAGTTACAGGCAACACGTAATTATAAATATTATTACACAAATTAATTACATGTAATTACATGCCGGTATTTATTTATTTTTTGTTTACAATTTATTTTAAGGTGTGCTTGTTACAGTGTAATTATACATTTAAGTACTGAGTAATATTAATTAACTACATGTACTTACTATATGGTTACGGTTAGGATTAGGGTTTGGTTTAGGGTTACTTGCATGTAATTATGCATAATTTATTGTTATTATAATAGAAAGTACATGTAACAAGGACACTTTAAAATAAAGTGTTACTTTTTAAAATATTAATTCGAAGTAAAATGTATGTACGCAATAAGTGCATTGTATCAAATGATTCATTAAAACGTTAGTAGCTACATAGTTAAACAACACTTGTTGATCTGGAACCACCAGTTGCAATATTATTTGCATTGTTGCATTTTTTCACTGTCAACACAGTCAAAAACTGAAAAATGTCCATTATTACTAAAAAAAAAATTTTTCTTCATGACTTATTTAGGAGGGAAAAATCGAAGTGAGAGTTCTAATTAGCTTCACTAGCCTTCACAGTCTTCCCACAGCTGTACTTGTTTGTACAGAGCTGCAGATAGTCTCTTGCGGTAATACACATGGCCCTTTTATGTGTCTGGAGCGTTCGAATGTGCCACATTGCAGTATTATATAATATACAGGATTAAGTGCAAGCCTAGTGACTACGTTTGATGACTCTTCCGTGATGCATGCGCCACATGCGCTTGGAGCCTCGGCTCACACGTCAGACCGTTCGGTGCGCCTGCAGCGAGGTCAGTGTCCTCTGACAGGCCGCGTTCTCGCGAGACTTCGACTCAGAATTATTGGACTATCGTTCAGGGTTACGCTTGACGGTGAGAAGCTATTCGCTATTCATGTATATATTTCTTCATATTTAACTTTTCATGTATAAGTTGATAATTTACACGCAATGGTGAATATATTTTGTGTACTTTGGATCGCGGAAGTGCTGGTTTTTGTTCCAGAAACTGTCAACTTGTCGGTCGTTGATTCCTGTCAGAAGAATATCTCGCTTATGTTACAGTCGTTTTGTATAAAGTTCATCAGTTTCGGTTGTCGGTTGCGGTTTGTTTGACACATGACCGAACTGTTTTCCGAATGCTATATATAACATGTAACGTTACCATGTTAGCTTGGTCTCAAGTTTAAAACCCTCCCGTTTTTTGACCTACCGGTAGTGGTTGTCTAGCTGGCTAACTAACTTAAATTGACGTTTTATATAAGGTGCAAGGTAAGCTTGTCAGTATTCCTAACTACATCAAAACATGTTGCGTTTGTGTGAAATGTCATTATTGTTTGTGTTTTTCTCTCTTGAAGGAAGCCACTGGCTCTTGACAACATGGCTGTCTCAAAATATATCGACTTGCCTAACGTTACCTAGAACAGCATTTTTTGGGCGTCATACATACGTTCCAAACTCTGTTGAAATGCCCAGAAATTATTTCTAAGTAGGCAACTTCCTGGGTTTGATGCACTGCCAACGTTGTCACTACAGAAAACACTAATACAAACTATTTTGATCGAGTTAAGAGTATTGACTAATTAACACAGTGCCATCTAGGTAGGCAATTACTGGTTTTGATACACTGCCAAGGTTGTCAAGACACTAATACGAACTATTTTGATAGTTTAGATAGGCAGCTCACTAGGTTTGAAGGCACAGCATATGTGTTACATTAATTTGTTTTTCAGATACAGTTCTGTCAAGGTAAACATGTCTCATAATGATGAAGGATATGTGGTACGGATCCGTGGTTTGCCTTGGTCATGCACACAGGAGGAAGTGGCCTCCTTTTTCTCTGGTATGCAAACTCTCAAACTGAAAGCATCTTTTGTAGCGCTCTATGTGAGTTTACAGAAAAAGAGCTGCAGTTGTGATTTTCCTTTCTTTTTTTACTTACAGATTGTGACATTGTAGGGAAAGTGAAGGGGGTGTGTTTTACCTTCTCCAAAGAGGGAAGGCAGAGTGGAGAGGCGTTTGTGGAGCTGAAGACATCAGTGGACTTTAAAAAGGCTTTGGCAAAAGATCGTAAATACATGGGTCATCGTTACATCGAAGGTACATTCCTGTACACAATGTAGAAAATTCTGTCATAATGGTATTTAAAGGAATAGTTCACCCAGAAATTTAAATTGTCATCATTTACTCACCCTCCACTTGTTCCAAAACCAGTATGAGTTTGTCTTCTTTTGAACACAAAAGATGATATTTAAAAAAATGTTGGTAACGAAGCAGTTGACTGCCTATACTGGGTGAACTATCTCTTTTCCATGAATGATTGGACAATCCTTTTTTTATGGAATATTTAATTGTTTACTATAAATGGTTTATTCGTGCACATAGTTTTTTTAAAAATTCATGTGCCCTTGTAATCAAAAACATTAACATACCCTCCTTCTCACAATTGCCACAATTAGAAAATGACAATGATCAAGTCAATTCAAGTTGTACAAAATCAAGTCCTGCCCTACATTTTTTCCCCCCTTTTCGAGAAGTCGCTTTACTCAGATATGCATCACTATAGGAAAGAAAAGATGATTGTTTCATACAGACTTAAATAGCACAAGTTAAAGCAGTTGATATGTTTGTGCATTTGTTTGTTAAAATGTATAATAATTGATTGTCTGCCTCTTGACCCTTCCACAGTGTTCAAGTCAAACCGTAGTGAGATGGATTGGGTGCTGAAACGCTCCAGTCCCACAGACTATGACAGCAGCAGCGGTTGCATGTTGCGTCTAAGAGGACTGCCATTCGGCTGCAGTAAAGAAGAAATTGTACAGTTCTTTTTAGGTACATTTGTTGTTTCACTTCAACACTTCCTAGACTTGCAGATATTGCTAGGACATCTTTTTAAAACTACTGAAAATTGTGTTTTTTGGTTTGTGTCAGTTCTTCCTTTTTTATGTCTTTATATAATCAGTCATATCATATTTTGAAGGTTTTTCTTTTTATGTACTCAACAGATTATTAAGCATGTTTTGGTTATATTTAACATTATTTATATGTCGCCAGCATCACAGAGGTAGCTGTGCTATGATTTCTTGATTGATTGATTTTAATTTCATGGATTTATCCTTTGTGGTTTGCTCTAGGGTTTTTATCTGACATAGGGAATGATTTAGGGGCTCATTTGAGGGGGGGTGTATTTTCTGCAGATGAGAATGTTGCGGCTCTTTAACATGTCTCCCCATGTGGGGTTATTTGTCCTTGGGTTAAAGGGTTGAAAATCGTGCCAAATGGGATAGCATTGCCGATGGACTACCAGGGGAGGAGCACAGGGGAAGCCTTCGTGCAGTTTGCCTCAAAGGAGATAGCAGAAAAGGCTCTGGGGAAACACAAGGAAAGAATAGGGCACAGGTGGGGCCGGCAAGACTGGGCTGGGTGCTAATGCTATCTCTAAATGTGGGGTGGGGGGTCATGCATCTTCCTGCTCTGGAAAAAGATGGTATGATCATGTTATTACACTTGAAATGTTTAATTTTACATTACACTGTCATGAGGGGACAAAAAATAGGCAGAAATATGATTTCATAATGTCGTTGGGCAACATACTGCAGAAGCAAAGGAGCCTTTTAATGAACAGGCATTTTACAATACTTTTAAGATTCTGTTTCTGTCTGAAATTGGCCTTTAGATACAGTTCAATTTTATGACTGGGCAGAATGTCAGACACTTAACTACTTCTCCCTCTGGTCAATAACTGACAATAAACTGTCAGTTATTGTGATGCCATAATGAATTTAGTCAGTGGGCCCCAAATACCGTCTTCTCTGAAATCTTCCTCATTGCTGTTAAAACATTCAGCTGCCTGTACGTTTATTAACATGTTGCATTTCAAAATAAACTCAGGTACATAGAGATATTCAAAAGCAGTCAAAATGAAATGCGTGCATACTACGAAGTACCCCGGAGGATGATGGGACAGAGGCCTAGTCCATATGACAGACCCATGATGGGACGCGGGGGCGTCTTTGGGCCCGGGCCTGGAAGGGGAGGTGCTGTCCTGGACCAGATGTGCAGCGGAGGCGGTTACAGCAGCGGTATGCTACTTTAATAGTGCTTTGTAACTTTATTAACTCTCACTGGGTTTTAGTTAATAAGATGGATAGCTAATTAACAAATGTGGGTTTTAATGGCTATATGCACTACCGATTCAAAAGTTTGGGCTCAGATGGAATTTTTAAAAAAAGAAAGGAAATTAGTACTTTTAAACTGTGAAGGTGCATTAAATTGATCAAAAGTAACAGTAAAGAATTTATAACTTTACAAAGATTTATATTTTTAAATAAATAATGATTCATCAAATAATCATTAAAAATTTATTACCCGTTCCACAAAAAAAAAGTATGTATTATAATACAAAATATTTCTTGAGCAGCAAATCAGCATATTAGAATGATTTCTGAAGGGTCATGCGACACTGAAGACTGAAGTAATGGCTGCTGAAAATTCAGCTTTCAATAGCAATAAAATTTCACAATATTGCTACTTTTTACTGTATTTCTGATCAAATAAATGCTTTGGTGAGTTTTCCTTAAAAAAAAAATCTTACTGATCACAAACTTTTGAAAAGTTCTTTCACTGACAGAATGTAAAAAATAATAATTTGTCTCTCCTTCATAAGGATATGGTGGGTTTGAAGACTACAATGGCTTTAACAACAACTGCTTTGGTAACGGCATGTTTGAAGAGCGCGTGCGTGATGATAGAGGAAGAGGAAGAATGGGGGGTCATAGCTACAGCAGCGACTCAAACTCAGGCTTTCACAGCGGTCATTTTGTGCACATGAGAGGCCTACCGTTCCATGCTACAGAGGCGGATATCGCACATGTAAGAAACACCACAGTTTTGCCATTTCTTGTGGATATTTTATTACATTATTTTTAGGGGTGCTCCGATCAGGATTTTTGAGGCCGATCACAGAAAAAGTGCTC